ACCCTTATTCCAGAAACCGCTCTTGAGGGCTTTTGGAATTGGTTTCTTGAGGAGGGAAACACTTGTGTGATGATCTTGGAGCCGTTGGGAGATAAAATGTATGTCATTAGCCGTTTTCACACAGGGAGGGAGAATCTGTGCAAATTTGCAGTGCATGGTGAAATGGAGAGTGAATGGAGTAGTTGAGATGAGCATGCATGTGACATGGATGAGACTGGTATATGAGATTACATGATATCATGTGTCAAAATCTGAAACTACAGAATCCCGATCTAGGCTCGGACGATGGAATCGACAGGAGTTACCCAGATGCACAGATCAAAGGTAATTTTAAGAGATTGGCCGTTGGTGAAAGTGGGAATTGATCATGGAAACTACTTCAGGAACGAACAGAAGAAACACCATTGATTTTCAGACACCCAGTTCATGTTCTACCTTGTTATGTGCTACGATGGAACAGCTGCTCGAGGAAACACAAAGAAATGATGTATCTTAACATTACAGAAAGATTTGGAGTACCGACACCCACATGAAATTCACTCGAAACCATCCCAACTTCTAACAAAGAATGCAGACAAAACTGCGAGATGAATCAGAATACAGAAGATCAATGAGCCCTAAGCCTTGGGATACTTGAAACTGTTGCCACTGATTTAGCTTCTCTTCTCAGCAGCTTTTGAACTGGGGAGTGTTCCAAACACCTTGTCCCACAGCGACGACGTGATCCCAAATCCCTTGTTCTGAATTCTGAAGTGATGGTTCAGGTGATATTTCTGCCAAACGAAGCATGAAACCCACAAAGTTAGCATTAGCTCTGAACATGAACTAACAAGAGTCATTTGCCATGGTCAAACATGTCGAGACCCGAGAGAAAGAAACTTGAAATGCAACTCAGACATGGTTACAGCACACAAGATTGGTCATTACCTTGAGATGTTTGAAGGTTTGGTCTGAAGGTTGACCATGATGCAGATAGTAATGAGTCACATCATACATCACATAGCCGAGCAGACCGCCTCCAAACAGAGCAGGGGCAGTAGAAGGAGTGGCCAACAAATGAAGTACTTTCCAGAACTACCATGTAAAAGACAGCACGAAACCACAAGCAATCAAGGAACAGTTTTGCATTTGGGTAAGCAATAAGAAGAAGAAAACAAGAACAAGAACAAGAACAAGAACAAGAAGAATATACTTACAGGAATACAGAGAATAGCAGTTGCTGCAGGAGGGAAAACAAGACGAAGGCCATCCATTGGGTGCTTGTGGTGGCATCCATGAAGAAGATAGTGCAGAGTGTTTCCCCTTAAGACAATGAATTCAGTTTGAAATGAAATCAGCTTTGTATATACATTCATGTTAATGAAGCTTTTTTCAAGCCAAACAAAATTGTAAACACGAACAGAGGGCATTTTTCACTGATAGATGTTATAAAACTAACCAATAACTCGTAGTGTTGATATGGAAAAGAAAACGATGCAATGTGTACTCGAGCAGTGTCCAAATGAGCACACCCAACGCAACCAATAAACCGATATTGGGAAAAGTATGTCCCATCCTTGCAGAGATTGAGATTGAGTAGAAAACAACCGGCAGCCAAATAGTTGGGATTGCCCACCAAACTGTGCGAGTCAAGAACTGATAAAAAACGACGATCTAACGTTAATTCCGGGTACAGAAGAAGCTTATTCGAAAAGGAGCAGACTTTCATATGGGGAAAGCAAGAAGGTAATACCTCCCAAAATTCACTTTCGAAGAATCGAGGACCCTCTACAGTTATGATAGGTTGATGAACCCATTCTTGATATGCTTCACCAAGATGACCAACCTGAAAATGGAAAGAGCTCTTCATCGCTTAGTAGGTGTAATGCATTGCAGAGATAAAAGGATAATGCCGGCTTTTAAGACAAATTGGAAGTTAAAAGACAGAATTTTGTCAATTGTTTACATGTCTGTTGGATCCTGTCTAGAATCAATGGAAATGTACATCACCAAAGGTAAGAGGGTTAGTAAAGAAGTGATGGAGCAGTCACCTGAAAGACCAGAGGCTTGTTCAAATCGACGGTGAAGCCCTTAGCAACCATCTTCACCAACTCTATATGTGCTGTAAAAACAGACAACATATTATGTCTTTCATACATGAAGAACAGATCTTTTTATGCAAAAGTACATAGAGCTATACAAATATCTACAAAAACGAAAATTTCCACTGAAAGGTTGAAGGATTCAAAAGCTTGTATCATTATTGACCACACAGACTAGAAGATAAACCATGCAGTTATTCAATCAAAGTAATTCAGATTTATGCAAAGAAGTGAATGCATAAATCCAGAAATTCTATTTCTTCTGTGATATTTTACTAAAAGCCTGCATTTGGGAATCCAAAGAAGAAGTATTCAGAGATGTGAATCTAAAGCTCATTTTCGGAAGGGAAAACAAGGAGAGATTCCATCTGGGTCAATAATCCAACAAATCTACATTACTGCAAGAGCTTCGTCATACCTAAGGACAGTCAAAAGATTTCCTTTGCATCCAAACAGAAGACAGAATTTCACTCGACAAGCACCTATACAATGTCGCAAAGAACAAGTTTTTCCAGGTTGTAAAACCAAAACCACCAGATTTTTCTCAGAAAGTCGCACAGAAAGAAGCAGAAAACATCAAACAACGACAGACCCACGATCTAACGAGGAGACCCAGAAGGAAATAACCAGCTTTATGAGCAATCCATGAGCAAAGTCCCAAACTTTCAATGAGAAAACGCCGATCCGAGTAAGAACAACTCAAGATTCTCTTCACAAGAACAGACGAAATTTCGATCAGAAAAGAGGGGAAAACATCGATCAGGAGAAATCCAGAGGAGAAACGTGATGAATCGATGATAATGCGCGTAAGATCTGAGCCTCACCTTGAGGGAAAGAATCTCTCTACCGAAGACTTGCTCTCAAATGAGGGGAGCACCACTGCTCTGACACAGTTAAGGTGCTTCTGTTGATATTTTTTTTTGTGTTCCTACTGTCCGGTTTAAATAATATGTAAAAAATAAAAGAATATTCTTTTTGCTCAAAGTTAAATTAGATTTTTTTTCAACAAAATTAATTAGACTTATTTTTTAAAAAAATCTGTATACTGTTATGGCTTATATAATCCTCCTATGAGACTGCATTTGCCAAAAAAAAATCGATTCACTTCAATTCATATTTATATAAATGTCAAAAGTTTACTTGATAGTATTTTTTACCATCCCTATAAAAGAGGTTAATTTTTTTACAGTTTCATAAGCAAAACATGTGAACCTCGAACCGCCAAAACACACTAGAGGTTCATTTTTTACCAAGCAGAGATACTTCATTGTACTAACTGGTTCCATTGAAAACCAGAACAGATCTGTCCAATTACAGCACAAACCAGTGAAAGCACTGGCCAATAATTGGCTAAACCGGTAAATCTAGAGGCTCTGTAATTTCCGGTTAACACCAAACCAGCTACTGAGAACCCTATCTGAACCATACCATTGTTTCCAGACTCTCTTGAAGTCTCTTCTTCCTTCTCTCTCCTCCGCTTCTCTGCACGCCGTTCTTTTGTGGTGGTGAGGCTTCCGGCCGTCTTCCGTCGCCGGTCTCTTCAGCGGTATCGCCGGAGATCGAATTTTACGCCGGAGGAGACGACCGACTCTGCAGTTTCCGCCATTTTTTCTTGATTTGTTCCAATTTCTAGCTAATTGTTTGGCTTTTGGGCTGCGACAGTTCAAGGCAAAGCTCTTCTTTTCCGTCGTCTAGAGGGGCGAAGAGCGAAACTCGGTTCTAATCCAGAACAATAATCAATAGCCCATTTCATTTGATATGCAGATCGCGTGTCTCTCCTCTCCCATTTCTTCGATTATTCCCCGTACCTCCAATTCAATAGTGTCGCCATTGTCATATCCCCACCGCATTTTCAATCTCAATTCCGGTTTGAACCCCAAAAACAGATTCCCTATCGTATCTTACGAAAAGGTTTTTGAATCTCGAACTGGTTCTAGTAGTTCCATTTTGGCGAGTGTAAGATGCGAAGAAGTTGTCGAAGCAGATGACGAGTTCTATATGAGGAGGTGCGTGGAATTGGCCAGGAAAGCAACTGGCTGCACCAGTCCTAATCCCATGGTGGGTTGCGTCATAGTTAAAGACGGCGAGGTTGTCGGAGAAGGGTTTCATCCCAAAGCTGGTCAGCCTCATGCTGAGGTAACAACTCCATGGTTTTCTTTCGATGATGTAAACCAGAATAGAAAAGAAAAAGGATACAGTTTTGCTTACAGGGTTGCGGAAAGGAAGAAACTTTGAGATTGTTAGGAGTGTAATGAGCATTGTGAAAGAATTCTGACAAGGAACTGGAGCAGAGTAGGGTTTTCAGGAGTGATGTTCCTGTGGAAGTTGATCTGGTTTATAATTGCTTGGTTTTGGTTTGAGATATTTCAGGTGTTTGCTCTTCGAGATGCTGGTGACTTGGCCGAGGGAGCCACTGCTTATGTGAGCTTGGAACCCTGCAATCATTTCGGGAGAACTCCGCCATGCTCGGAAGCATTGATCAAAGCCAAAGTGAAAAGAGTGGTAATTGGAATGGTTGATCCGAATCCGATAGTTGATTCATCTGGTATCAATCGATTGAGAGATGCTGGGATCGATGTAACTGTTGGTGCAGAAGAAGATTTGTGCAGGAAGCTTAACGAGGCATTCATCCATCGGATGCTGACCGGAAAGCCTTTCCTTACACTTAGGTAACTTAAAAACTTCTTACCAGAGTTGGCAACTATGTTGTTTATAAGTTGGGTAGATGTTAAATTCGTTGAAGGTTGCAGGTATTCCATGTCCATCAATGGCTGTTTTCTTGATAATCTCGGGGAAGGGGTCTCGGAATCAGGTGGATACTATTCAAAGCTATTACAAGAACACGACGCAATAATACTTTCCTCCTCGTTATCGGATAGTCTCTCAAGCATTTCATCTCAAGAACCAGGAGCTACCCAACCTGCCCAGATTATAGTAGCAGATAGTGCACAACAGCCACCTGAACTATATCCTTCCATCTCTGTGGAAGAATCGGATCCGAAAGTGGTAATCTTCACCGAGAAAGAGATGTCTGTTTCTGAACCGGATAAGAACGAGAACAGGGTTGAAACTGTGGTGTTGGATGAGATGAATCTGGACGCCATCCTAGAATACTGCTATCGTCGCGGATTCTGCAGTGTCATGCTGGATTTAAGAGGGAACATCAAAGAACTTGAAAGGCTTGTGGGAGATGGGATCAATCGAAAACTGTTGCAGAAGATAGTAGTGGAGGTATTACCTATATGGAGCGGGAAAGAGGAGAATCTGCTCGGGCCGACGAGCTGCTTAGGGTCATTGCCCGTGAAAGATTTACAGTCTAAACACTCGGGTCGAAGCATTTTGCTCGAGGGCTATCTTTGATGGTGCGCATTCTTTTGTTACTGGTTTCCGCATCTAAGAACTTATCAGTTCATGTTTCTCTTCAGGTCAGACTCAAGAAACTGAAACCCTTGTGGCAGTCTATGTTCGGATAGAATCAAGAAAACATGTCTACGCATGCATGCATGCATGCATGCATGTGTGTAACTCCCAACGTAGACTACAGACAGTGCAAAGGGGTTAGGTTTTTGCAATGTCGCAAAGTTTTGTTTTTCCCTCCTTAATATGAACACTGCAGAGAATATTTAGATAAAGGATTTGATCATTTGTTGATTGGATTCATATACTATGCGAAATTGAAATTCGAGTGGCCCTAATATCTCCACGCAATTTATGAATAAAGTTTTCAGACAGCCACTCTCTCAGCCCCCACCGCTGTCGAAATCACACAGCTTTTTCTCACAAGCATTTGCCACACATGGCTCACTACTAAATAAATCTTTAATAAGTTCTTGATTTATAACCCGTACAAACCAGAAATTTATGTAAAACGACGGAAACATTAACAAGTTTTTTTTTTTATTAATCCGGAAGTTAGGCCCGACTACATCTCCCAGAGTACCGGGGGAGTCCATGTGAATACCCCTCACCATCCTCAGGAATCGAACCGCTGACGTGAAGGCACATTGACCAACACCTCAACCACTCGCCCACACTAGGTTGGGTAACATTAACAAGTTTATTTACAAAAACCCAACAGCTTGTGATCGAGTGGTCAGCAGCTGGGTGCAAAACACTCAAACGTTGGCGGTTCGATTATTGGTTGGGAAGGGGTTTTCACATGGGATGTCTCGTTCCTCTAGGAGATGTAGTTGGACCAAAGACCTGGTGAGATTAAAAAAAAAGTTTATTTACAAAAAATATATATAAAATACACATTTGACGTATCGTTTTCCCAAATACAAATGAATTTACAATTCTACGTTTTATGATTAATATTGTTGTGGATATTGCACGGAATCTCTATGATCTAGTTGGAATCATCTGTTGCAGTTTTTTTTTTTGTAACCGGGTTTCCTGAACCGAAGCCCAGATTAATTCCGGGGCCAGGAGCCAGCCATGTTATTTGAATTATACGTTTCCTCCCCAACCTGAGGTTCGAACTCGGGACGGGACAGACGATTTGCGTCCCCGTTTCACCGGTTGAACTACCAAATTGAGTAATCATCTCTTGGAGTTGTGAATATATATATATATATATATATATATATATATATATATATATATATATATATATATATATATATGAGGGGAGGATGATAGGAGGGGGAATATATCGTCTTTTTTTTTTTTTTTGCTTTGTTTTGCTTTTGTTGCCCCTTCCATTTTTTATTGCTTTTGCAGCCTTTTGAAATATATAATATATATACTAACCTCCAAGCCTTAACTAATTTAAATAAACACATGCCCATTATTTATTCTATATATGATTGAAGGATCAAGATTCTTGTACATATATGTATATTATCTCTTAACTCTTGGTCATTAGGGTTTCTTCTGTGTGGCCATTACATATCATTAGCATCGTTATAGTATCAGCATGGAGTCCAATTCCAATGCAAGTTCTTCAAGATCCGACAGAAAAACCATTGAGAAAAACAGGAGGATTCAGATGAAAACCCTCCAATCAGATCTCAACTCTCTTCTTCCCAATTCCCAAAATTCTAGGGTTCTTCCTTCTTCTCTTATGGTTCCTAATTTGGTTACTCACATCTTTTCTTAGGGTTCGTATTGAACTCTCTAACGAGGAATTCACAGTGACAATGGTCGGACTTTTCGATATTCGCTGCAGGAACCATTGACTCAGCCCGATCAGCTAGACGAAGCAGCAAAGTACATCAAGAAGCTGCAAGTGAAGGTGGAGAGGATGAAAGAGAGGAAGAGGAAGCTCGTGGGTTCCGAGGGATCATCCGACTCTCCGTCGGGTTTCGCGTTTAGACGGCCAAGAATCGAAATCCAAGAAATGGGTCCGATCATGAATATTGTTCTTGTCACGGGTTTGGATTGCAAGCACATGTTCTACGAAATCATCCGTGTCCTTACGGACGAAGGAACCGATGTTTCTCATTCTTCCTTCTCCGTTGTTGATGACGCTGTCTTCCACACTCTTCAATGCAAGGTATATATATGTGTGTGCATACATATATACATATACATACATATGTGTGTGTATGTGTGTTATATGTGATCAACATCAAGATGATTAGAGAGATCACCCTCATACATCATAACACCAAAAACCACGTGGAAGGAATAAAAGGAGACAATATTTAACTAAACCATGTTTTGGCATCTCTAAACGCACTACTAATTAATTACTAAACCCTTTTGTTATCTCATGTGTTTAAGGATGTATATATATGCTTATGGGTTAATTTCCGCACTTAATTACTTTGATTAGGTGGAGGTGGAAGAGTGTGATTATGAAGCGGCAAGAGGAAGGATTTCCGAGAGATTAAAGAGGCTTGTGGACAATGTCTCTAACTAGTTTGAATTGCCCGCCACTCTTTTGTCTTCTAAAACCACATATCCTCTTTAGTCACGTTTGTACTTTATTGTTGGCTAATTGCTCCGTGTAAGATAATTTCTTTCATGGTTATTAATTATTTCGTAAATATGTGTATATATATATACACACACTATTTGATAAAAACATACGTTAGTCCAATCCAAAATTTGATCGGATCAACTCGTAAGAAAAAGAGCAAAACTCATTTCTAATCCAACATTCACCCGAACTTTCCGATGTTCTAGTAGATATAATTGGACCAAATATTTAGTGAACTTTCGGATTATAAAAAAATTTCGTTTATCCATATATGAGTAAAGTATAAAAAAAAGGGAATTGTTCGCTTTAAACTACATATGGGAATAAAGTATAACAGTGACATAACAAATACATACATGTGTGCTGTCGTTTATTGTATAACCTTTTTTCAGTAGATTTTCCAATAGTTTCGATGACGTATTTCCCCATGACTACCTTCATACAAATGAGGCGAATAATCCAATTAAGGACCGTACGGTTAGATAAAAAAATTTCTCTATAGGATGATAGCCTCTTAATGGGCTGCACCAATTAGAAGGAGTGGGCCCATGGCTGAAATATCTTTCACCTTCAAAGCCCATAGGCCCAATAATAAAACGAGCAATGATTTCTTTTTGCTACTCTGCGTCGCGTCTAAATCTAGGGTTTTCTCTCCACAAAATCGACGCATTTTTCTTTCCACCAAAAGCTCAACCATGGTAGTCGAAGCTTTCGAAGTCGGCGCTGTTCCCTTCAACCCCGATGGCTGGGGTCCTCCTGATGCTGCCTCGGATTCTTCCGCTGCTACAAGCGTAGCCGCTGCGAATCTCCTCCCTAACGTCCCTTTCTCGCCCTTCTCTCGCTCGGAAAAGCTCGGCCGCGTTGCCGATTGGACCCGCGCTCTCTCCAATCCCTCTGCGCGTCCTCCCACCGGTTCCAAATCCGATCCGACCGCTGTTTTCGACTTCTCCGCCTTCGCCGTCGACGACGCCTTCCCTCTCGCTTCCTCCGGTGGAAACGCGGATGAGGATTCCGCCTTCCGGCTTGTCGACGGCAAGCCTCCGCCACGTCCCAAGTTCGGACCCAAGTGGCGGGTTAATCAGCATCACAACCGGTCCCAGCTACCGCAGCGGAAGGATGAGGAGGTCGAGGCGCGGAAGCAGCATCACAACCGGTCCCAGCTACCGCAGCGGAAGGATGAGGAGGTCGAGGCGCGGAAGCGTGAGGCGGAGAAGGAACGTGCTCGTCGTGATCGTCTCTACAATCTCAAGCGGAACAACGTCAATCAGCAGCGCCGTGAATCGGCCGTGTTCAAGTCGTCTGTGGATATTCAACCGGAATGGAACATGCTCGATCAGATCCCTTTCTCCACCTTCTCGAAGCTGTCGTTCTCCGTTCAGGAGCCTGAAGATCTTCTCCTGTGCGGCGGCCTCGAGTACTATGACCGGAGCTATGACCGTGTCACGCCTAAGAATGAACGCCGGCTCGAGCGTTTCAAGAACAGGAACTTCTTCAAGGTCACAACGAGTGACGATCCTGTCATCAGGCGTCTCGCGAATGAGGACAAAGCCACTGTCTTTGCCACTGATGCTATTCTCGCTGCTTTGATGTGCGCTCCTCGATCCGTTTACTCCTGGGATATCGTCATCCAGCGTGTTGGGAACAAATTGTTCTTCGATAAGAGAGATGGGTCACAGCTTGATCTGTTGTCTGTGCACGAAACCTCACCGGAACCCTTACCTGAAGCCACAGATGATATCAATTCTGCTTATTCCCTGGGTGTGGAGGCTGCGTATATCAACCAGAACTTTTCGCAGCAGGTTTTGGTTAGGGATGGGAATAAGGAAACTTTTGATGAGCCGAACCCATTTGCCAATGAAGGTGAGGAGGTTGCCTCTGTTGCTTATAGGTATAGGAGATGGAAGCTCGATGATGATATGTATCTGGTTGCGAGGTGCGAGTTACAGAGCGTTGTTGCGGCCAACAACCAGAGACAGTTGCTCACTTTGAATGCTCTCAATGAGTTTGATCCGAAATACTCTGGAATTGATTGGAGGCAGAAGCTTGATACTCAGAGAGGTGCCGTCTTGGCCACCGAGTTGAAGAACAATGGAAATAAGTTGGCTAAATGGACTGCACAAGCTCTCTTAGCCAATGCAGATATGATGAAGATTGGTTTTGTTTCGAGGGTTCATCCCCGTGACCATTTCAACCATGTTATACTTACCGTTCTGGGGTATAAGCCGAGGGATTTTGCTGCTCAGATTAATCTGAACACTTCTAACATGTGGGGTATTGTGAAATCCATTGTTGACCTGTGCATGAAGCTTAATGAAGGAAAGTATGTTCTTGTTAAGGATCCATCAAAGCCTCAAGTGAGGATCTACGAAGTTCCACCTGATGCTTTTGAGAATGATTATACCGAAGAGCCGCTCCCTGAGGAAGAACAGGTGCAGCCACCTTCGGAGAATGCTGGGGGAGATGAGACAGCCGGAGCATCTACTAACGAAGCGGATGATAAGAAGGCCGATGCTCAAGCTTGATGGTAAATTCAATTCTTTTTCTTGTTTGGACCACTATCTTTAATTCAAAGGTTATCACTTTCTGGTGAAGAGTTTGTTGAAACACTGTGATTCTACATTTAGAGCTCATAACCTACATCTGTGATTGAATGTGGCTATAATATAGAATCCAGGAGATAGGCTAGATTTGTGTTTAGCAGGGCATCTTTGTGATTTTCTTTCTCTTATTCTGATCTGGACAACTGCTTTTGTCTTTCCGTGAATTCTATTGCTTTCTGTCTGGATTGGGTTTGGTTACCGAGTCTCAGAGACATTTTAAACCTGTTAATAGAGGTTTCTTTAGTAACTTGTACTACTTGGAATGCATCCTCTATTCGATTCTTGTTCTATGTTCTTGAGGAAAGGAAGAATATTGTCATTGATCTGAAATCATGAAAGTGTTTATTTGATTTCTTGAAGCATGACTATATGCCTAAGCCAATATCGATGTATTTTTCCTTGAAGGTGAAATCGATGGCATCATAGGAAGCATCATCATTCACTTTCTCTTGAATATGAATTGTTCACAGGTCATAATACATGTGGGCTTGTTCTTGACACTCAGATGTTTGTGTTGAAGATTCCTTCAAGCAAGGCAATGGAGGTTTTCTTCTATCTTATTCGCTATGTCTCTTTTATCTTCCTTTTTTTTTTTCCAATTTTGAGGGATGATGTAGTCTTTAGACTGGAGAGTTTCTTGGTACAATTTCACCTTGGTATCTATTGGTAAGCATACCAAAGACATGGGTTGTTTTTGTTATAATATACATTTTCATGTTTATGATAATCCTGTAGTTATAGTGTAGCAAGAAGATACTAACATGGTACAACATCTCAGTTTTTCCATTAGAAAATTTTCCATTTTATAAAAAAGGTTTTTATTTGGTTATTTTTTTTATTTTTGTATTCAATTAATTAATTCAGTTTTAGAAGAAGTTTATCAAACTCATTTGTATCTTAATCTGTTTCTTGCAACGTGAGGGTTTAGTATTAAGAAAAATGAATCAATTATATCATATAATGCGTTTTACAATTGGGAAGTAGCTATGTGTACTCACGAGATCTCATTCACAAGTTGACGAAAAATCATTGATGGTTCTATCGGATTCCGAAGAGCCGGGATAAGCTTTCCGATCGCCAGTATCCTATCCAATAAGGGAATGAAATCGTGACCGACACGTGGCACGTCACCGGTTAGGCCCTAAAAAGCCGGATTTTGTCTGCAATTGAACCCGACAACGACCATATCCGTTAAGGGGGGTTGGATATTCGACACGTGCTCAGTTCGAAATCCTCCTCTGTTGGTTTTTTGACATGTCGGGGCCATGTTATATTGTTCTTCCTTATCGCGTAAACATCGTGATTGCCAAGGACAAAACACGAGATAGTCACTGAAGGTACACGTGTTCGGATGTACACACTCTCGTACTTGCAGACAAAATCCATGCAATTAATGGCAAAAGTTTTCTGACGGCAGAAAACGCCATGAAAACTTGCCCTGTTTCTTGGGTAATCTCTGAATCTTCCTGCTTCAATCCCCTAAACTCGCCTCTATAAATGATCCAAGCTTCATGGTTTCATCTCTCAAACAACTTCATCACATCGAAAGTTCTTTGCTTTCTTCATCAAAAGCTCTCTCTCCGATCCATCTTACTCTTGGGCGTTCCAATTTCAATGGCGACTTCAAGGCTTGCTAGGTTCGTGACGGAGGTTGCTCCGCCGCAATTCGTCACCGTTATGAGGCGGAGAACGGTGAAGATGATGGACACCATCAAAGAGGAGGAGAAGGAAGATTCTTTGGGGATGATGTCCGGGACGAGCACGAGGACAACTTCTCATGTTTCTGCAGTTTCGGTCTCTGCTGTTTCTTCTTCTTCTCCGGGCTCTGGTTCTAATTCTAAATACTTTCTGAAAGAAGTTCGGAGCTCGTTTTCCGTCTTTGACAACTGATTATATGTGTGTGTGTTTTTTTTTGTGTGTATCGAATCCGGGTTGATATGTTTTTTTTGTTCCCCGGTTCTTGTTTAACGAAAGGTTCGATCAGATGTTTTTTTTTTTTTTTTTTTTTTTTTTAATTGATGTCCGGGACGAGCACGAGGACAACTTCTCATGTTTCTGCAGTTTCGGTCTCTGCTGTTTCTTCTTCTTCTCCGGGCTCTGGTTCTAATTCTAAATACTTTCTGAAAGAAGTTCGGAGCTCGTTTTCCGTCTTTGACAACTGATTATATGTGTGTGTGTTTTTTTTTGTGTGTATCGAATCCGGGTTGATATGTTTTTTTTGTTCCCCGGTTCTTGTTTAACGAAAGGTTCGATCAGATGTTTTTTTTTTTTTTTTTTTTTTTTTGTAAATGGTCGGATCGTTCTAAAGAGATAAAAGTTATGGTATTCAATACGTAGATACGTGCACAAAAAGAATCATTATACAGTGGATGTATCGCCGTGTTCAATCTTCAAGCCGATTTTCCAGGCAGTGAGGCTCTGATGCATGACAGGTTATATACTAAGAAAATATCGGAAGAACAATGTATACATCGCCATTGAAACCCATATTCTGAACTGTGCAGAACTCTCGGTTTTGCCGGAAAATTCTTTACTCTTGGACTGAACTTTCTCCCCATTGACGATTCCGGAAGCTCTTTTTCGGATTTGAATCCTCAGATTCAAATCTCAAAGAGGCTCCTTTCGTCAGGGAGAGAGAGAGAGAGAGAGAGAGAGAGAGAGAGAGAGAGAGGTGGCTTTTGGTGTTGTTTGGGAACCGAGAAAGTATGGGAAAATAAAAAGAAAAATCGTTCCTTTTTAGATAAAGTCGGGAAAAATAATGAACGATGCACATTGGGTCTGTTCGCACATCGGTTCGTTGAGAATATAAGTGACAACAATGCCCACCAACAGTGGAACATGTCTCCATGGCAAGAATTCTGTTCTTCTGCTTCCATTGGTGAAGAGATGCATCTCTCTCTTGCAAACCTGCGCTTCATCGCTACCGAAGCTCAGGCAAATCCACGCATTCTCCATCCGCCATGGCGTTCCTCTCTCCGATGCCGACATGGGCAAGCACCTCATCTTCTATATCGTCTCTCTTCCTTCCTCACCTCCCTTGTCCTACGCCCACAGGATCTTCTCCAAAATCCAGAACCCTAACAATGTCTTCACGTGGAACACCTTGATCAGAGGCTACGCCGAGAATGGCGACCCGAGCCCGGCCGTTGCTCTGTTTCGCGAAATGCGGGTCTCCGGTTTGGCCGAGCCCGATACTCATACGTACCCGTTTCTTCTGAAGGCAGTGGCGAAAATGGCGGATGTTCGTTTGGGCGAGACGATTCATTCCATTGTAATAAGAAGTGGGTTTGATTCCTTGATATTTGCTCAGAACTCTCTGCTCCATTTGTACGCGAACTGCGGCGACGTAGCGAGTGCGTACAAGATGTTCGATAAAATGTCCGAAAGAGATCTTGTGGCGTGGAACTCTTTGATCAATGGGTTCGCACTTAACGGAAAGCCCACTGAAGCTATGGAGATTTACAGAGGAATGCAAATGGAAGGAATCGAGCCGGACGGGTTCACAATAGTGAGCTTGTTGTCAGCCTGTGCCGAGCTCGGTGCTCTCGCCTTAGGTAGGAGGGTCCATGTGTATATGATCAAAGTGGGTTGGAGGGGAAATTCTCATGCGAACAATGCACTTTTGGATTTCTATGCAAAATGTGGAAGAGTTAGAGAAGCGCAGACACTTTTCCACGAAATGGGTAACAAGAATAGCATCTCTTGGAACTCGCTGATCGTCGGGTTGGCTGTTAATGGCTTCGGTAAAGAATCACTCGAGCTTTTCAAGGACATGGAGAAGAAGGGTTTGCCGCCGAATGAGGTAACCTTTGTCGGGATCTTATACGCTTGTAGCCATTGCGGAATGGTTACTGAAGGTTTCGAATATTTCAGAAGAATGGTCGAGGAGTTCAACATCGTGCCCAGGATCGAACACTACGGTTGTATGGTTGATTTGTTGAGTAGGGCAGGGAAGATTAAGGAAGCATATGATTACATTCAGAACATGCCAATGCAGCCAAATTCTGTAATTTGGAGAACCTTGTTAGGAGCTTGCAGTGTTCATGGTAATTCAGCCCTAGCAGAGTATGCTACAGATCAGCTCTTACAACTAGAACCTAACTACAGTGGCGACTATGTCCTGTTGTCCAACTTGTACGCGTCCGAGGAGCGTTGGTTGGACGTGCAAAGGGTACGGAGGAAAATGGTCAATGACGGGGTCAGAAAATTCCCGGGTCACAGCCTCGTGGAGGTAGGAAATCAGGTTCACGAGTTTTTCATGGGCGATAAGTCCCATCCTCAAACCGGGGAGATTTATGCTAAGCTGAAAGAAATGACTGAAAGACTGAGAATGGAAGGCTACATACCGCAAACTTCAAAGGTATACGTCGATGTGGAGGAGGAAGAGAAGGAGAACGCCCTGGTTTACCACAGCGAGAAGATCGCGATTGCGTTTATGCTCATAAGCACACCAGCAAGTTCCCCGATCCACGTCGTAAAGAATCTTAGGGTTTGTGAAGATTGCCATGTTGTGATTAAGCTTGTTTCCAAGATCTATGATCGAGAGATCATCGTTAGGGACCGTAGTAGGTTTCACCATTTTAAGGATGGCTCTTGTTCTTGCCAAGATTATTGGTAAAAACTTTCCTAGACACAGGAAGAAAAGATTACAATAAAGTCTTTTTTTGTGTGACTACATCTTCTCATTTTCCTCTTTTGTAGTAGGGGCAGAATCTCATAAATGGAAAAATCAAGCGTACAGAGAAAAAAACTTGATTTAGTCATCAGCAAGATACCGATATCTCCAGCTACATAGCAGCAAGAAGCGTCCTGGGAAAATAACATCAGGAAGATCATCAGACTGGAGACAGGCGAAACACAACTAAGCAAATGAGCCAAAAATAACTGCACATACATTGTTCAGGCTCGGAATCTCTGATGCGAGTTGTCCTGATTTGTTTCTGGGCATTCGCCAAAATCTCGCGTTCCAATTGGGACAAGAATGGGCAGAGGAAAAGGATTGAACTGGCTATGAACAGATCTTTTGAGCGAATGCAGCCGAAAGGACGGATATTTGGAATGAAAAACAATTGAAAGGAGGAGGGATCTTTTGAATGAATGAATCAGTCATTTTTGACATTTTCCAACAGGATTTTCTTGGGTTGGTTGAGAAGATCTCTGGAAAATATGATATCCAGCTTAACAATTGGAGATGATGATATGGTAAGCAACGGGCATTCTCCTTTCAGCTCTTCTCCAGGTGATTTGGTCACACAAACTCCGACAACGTTATTTGCGCTTTGTTTTTCCAGGAGTAACTCTACAGCGGAACATTGGCCGCATTGAGCTAGACCTGCCCGAACGTCCAGAGAAGGCACCTGGCCCTCCTCTACAAAAGACACGGGCCATAATGCAGTGGCGCTGGAGCTTCTCTACGCCCTTTTTCTGGCTGAAGATATAACCTTCTACTGTGTCTTCCCTTTCAGTTCACAGTTTCACGAGAACCTGGCCTTGTTCTTGTTAGAGTTCAACTCAGATCTTACAGACCATTGCGTACAATTCTTGTGTGTTTCTGTCGGTCACTGGACACAGGACAATCTAATACATATTGCATCCACATCAAACAAGTTGAAATCTGCCTGAGATTCGGAGTAGACAGATTTCTGTATTGTTTCCATGGTGGAGATTTTCAGTTTTGTAGCAGTACCTTATAGATCATGGTAAATCCCCCCCCCCCTGGAAAAGATTCCAGCTTTTACTGTTAGTAGTCTCAAGAGATTATGAAAGAAAAAGGAGCTTCATTACGTTATCTTATCTTGGTCTACCCCTCTTGCACCTCCTTCATATCATATACCTATGTCGGATACTTAGTTTCTAATTTTGAAAGCATAGCACACAACAAGAAGGGCAAAAAAGAATCTACTGTTTGTTTCCTCCATACAAAGTGATGAACTCCTCTTCCCCTGATATGATCAGCATCCAATCCATCTTGTCTTAAATTCTTTCTTGTTTTCTTTGAATTTCATCCCGATTTCCTCTCCTTCGTTTTTCACTCGAACCCGGTTTCTTCCTTGGTTAGCTTTTACACTCTCTGTGGTCTCCTTCCTCATAGCTCTCAGTCTTTCATGAAGTTCCTTGCTTTTTTCCAAGTTAGCCTTCCGCTTCACAGCTTTCTGCAGAAATTTCGAAAGACATGTGAGGCATGCGATCATGGTTAATGAATTCTACGGAGAAAGAGCGATTATGGATTCATTTACCTCCTGCCGGAAACAGCGATCAAGGTTTACTTTGAGTTCTGTGCATTCTCCAAAGAATTTCCCAATGGGATGGTCTATATGACACTTTTGAAATTCCTCGATTACCTGGCAAACCATTAGATGCCCATTTAGATGTCTGCGCGGCTAAAACAAGTGTGTTCCCATTTCCATTCGGACATAGATGAGCTAAAAGAAAACGAAACCAGCAACACTACTACAAGACTGACACACACATTCGGCACAGCGAAATGACTAGCCCTTGTAAGCAGATGTCAACCTATGATTCTCCTAAGCTAGACTTCAAGATATGCCCCCATAAGATTTCACAGCTTAAACCTATAACAAGCAGGACAAGGCAGGCACGCATGATCCAGAAAGCGGGAAAAAATCCAGGAGCGGCAAGAGAAGAAGAAGTGGCATAACATTCAACTCACATCTGCACACATTGGGTGCCTGTGCAGCGTCAGAGGAGGATGCATGTTTTTGTCGTCCGGAACGAGCCACACACTGATCAATTTCACCCACAAAGATCAGAAACAACACCACCAATTCGGTAAAAAGCACAACTCGAATCTCACTAAATCGCAAGTGTCGGGAAAAGATTCTTAATCGGCATCGGAAGAAACAAATTCAGGAGAAACAACGACGATCAACCCCGATATACTCGAAACCAAACAACACACAGAGCGAAGAAATTTCAAATTACAAAAGAGTTGGAATCCAAAGTCAAATCCTACGGAAACAACCTAATCCGAGAAAAACCGCGGAGAAACTAGAAAATTGTACCTCGATCTCGACGAAATGCCACCCGAGTGAAGAGAAGACACGGGAAATAATGAGAACTGTGAAGACCAATAGGGGTTTTAACCCTAATAACCCACTTGTCTCGCAGCAATTTCAGGGTACACCATCGAAAAAAAAAAAAATTTGCGACCTTATTACGACTAATATATAACTAATATACAACTAAAATAAGAGTAGTTTTGCGTCGTATATATGTTGTATATTAGTATATTAGTCGTAATAAGGTCGCAAATTTTTTTTTTTTTCCGGTGGTGTACACTGAAATTGCTGCGCCCCAATTATTTGAGTAATATTACCAGACGAACAAGCGCGCTGCATCAGGTTTATTTACAGGACACGAGCAAAGAGAGTAGCCATACAGAAGATGACACGTGTCAAAATCAACGCCACCCGGTTTACCAAAGCTACTTCGGTTTGATTTGGTTTACGTCTTCCGCCAATTTTAACCTTTGAGGGTTTGTTTCTACATTGAACCAACCGGTTAAAACCCCACCATTAATAACCCTACTACTGCTACTTAGAAAAAAAAAGCGTGCGTGTGTGGCAATAGATATAAATTATTTTTCAATATGATACTAATATTTTATTCTCTTTTGCCCCCTCAACATTGTGTAAAATCTTCGGTACGAAGATTACTTGGATTTAAGGGTTTCTAATAACTTCATTTATACCTTTTAAATTTGGATTATGATTCAAAGCATTTGAGAAGGCTAGTGGACCGATGGAGAAAAGCAAACATGGAAATATTTTGGGTACTTTGGTACAAATTTATTCAAGGGGCCTTATACAAGAACCCCGCATAACATACAGTCACGAAACAGTCGGAAGATTCAAGTTTCAGACCAGACATGTACTTTGGATGACCTTACAGAACAGCCGACATTTGGCTTTCAGAAACCACCACGGAGACGGAGGACGAGGTGAAGGGTCGACTCCTTCTGGATGTTGTAGTCCGCAAGTGTACGGCCGTCCTCCAGCTGCTTTCCAGCGAATATCAGACGCTGCTGGTCCGGGGGGATTCCCTCCTTGTCCTGTATCTTCGCCTTCACGTTGTCGATCGTGTCCGAGCTCTCCACTTCCAGTGTGATAGTCTTACCGGTCAGGGTCTTCACGAAGATCTGCATCCCACCACGTAGACGCAACACCAAGTGGAGGGTCGACTCCTTCTGGATGTTGTAATCCGCAAGAGTACGACCATCCTCCAGCTGCTTACCGGCAAAGATCAGCCTCTGCTGGTCCGGGGGAATACCCTCCTTGTCCTGGATCTTGGCTTTCACGTTGTCGATGGTGTCGGAGCTCTCCACCTCCAACGTGATGGTCTTACCGGTCAGGGTCTTCACAAAGATCTGCATCCCACCACGCAGACGGAGAACCAAGTGGAGGGTAGACTCTTTCTGGATGTTGTAGTCGGCCAGGGTGCGTCCATCCTCCAGCTGCTTCCCGGCGAAAATCAGCCTTTGCTGGTCCGGGGGAATACCCTCCTTGTCTTGGATCTTGGCCTTTACGTTGTCGATGGTGTCGGAGCTCTCCACCTCGAGGGTAATAGTCTTACCGGTGAGGGTCTTGACGAAGATCTGCATGCCACCACGCAACCTGAGGACAAGGTGGAGGGTGGACTCCTTCTGGATGTTGTAGTCAGCCAGGGTCCGGCCATCTTCAAGCTGCTTACCCGCAAAGATCAGCCTCTGCTGGTCCGGTGGGATGCCCTCTTTGTCCTGGATCTTAGCCTTAACGTTGTCAATGGTGTCGGAGCTCTCCACCTCCAAAGTGATGGTCTTCCCGGTCAGAGTCTTGACGAAGATCTGCATACCACCACGGAGACGAAGAACCAAATGGAGAGTGGACTCCTTCTGGATGTTGTAGTCAGCAAGGGTCCGACCATCCTCAAGCTGCTTGCCGGCGAAGATCAGCCTCTGCTGGTCCGGAGGAATACCCTCTTTGTCCTGGATCTTGGCCTTTACGTTGTCAATGGTGTCGGAGCTCTCAACCTCCAACGTGATCGTCTTACCCGTGAGGGTCTTGACGAAGATTTGCATACCACCACGGAGACGAAGAACCAAATGGAGGGTTGACTCTTTCTGAATGTTGTAGTCAGCGAGGGTTCTGCCGTCCTCCAGTTGCTTACCAGCAAAGATCAACCTCTGCTGGTCTGGGGGAATCCCCTCCTTGTCCTGGATTTTTGCCTTGACGTTGTCGATTGTGTCGGAGCTCTCGACCTCAAGAGTGATTGTCTTGCCTGTGAGGGTCTTAACGAAGATCTGCATCTGAAATTCAGAAGAAGACGGATGAATGATTCACTGCTCAAACAGAAGACTAACAAGGATAATACCGAAAAACATGACAAGAGCTCAATCAACCCGACCAAACACGTCTTCATCAAAACACCCAACACGGCTTTGCAAAATTAGGCGAATTCTCTAATCAGGGTCTTTGCCAAAAAGCTTGACCAACATGTACAGATCAATAGGATCAACAACCCTCAACATATCAGAAAAAATTCCCAATCGTCAATTAACAGGAAATACAGATCGAGAATCAGTAAAACAATCGGCATGAGAAACCCAAATCTCATGTCAAAAACAATCTCCAAGGAAAGAATCTAATCAACGCCACAAGATAGAAACCGAGAAGATATATCCATTATCCAAAATCACCCCCAAATCCTCCCTACAAAAATACGACATCAACCGACAGATGAAGCCAAGGCAGATCTAGGGACCCATAAACGGACCCTAATCAGACGCATCTAGCGAGAACCTAAAAATGAAGAAGAATCAGGAAGAGACCAGAAAAACTCACCTTGATTAATCGCTTGAAAAGAGAGAAGCTTTCGATTGTTGAGGAAACGCAAATGAGATTGACGATGAGGTGAAAGGTTAGGGCCCTGTTTTATAGGAGGGGAGGAAGGAGACTCGGTCACGGGGAAATAAAGGCGGTGGAGCGATATCCAATAATAACTCGACACGTGTCCTGTGACCTGTCACGCGTTGTTTGTACGCAATGTTCTGGTATCTTCCTTTCGTTGTGGGTCGGAAAATGACAACGAGTCGATAACCACGAAGCTGCGATGGCCGTTATAACGGCGTTATACCATATCATTTTTCTTCTTTTTACACTAACTATAGAATTTAACGAATTAATTAACTTAAGTGGATTATAACGAATAATTCAACTAATTTTTAATGATTTGCGTTAAAAAATACCACAAAATCTATAAAACTTAAAAAATTAGATGGAATATCGAGTCGTCCACACCGTTTACATTTGTAGAAGTAACAGCCTTCATTAACGACGTTAGATGACGTTAACTCAATCAAACGGGTCTTCTGTCTTTTTCCTTACTTTTCTCCTTTAGATTTAATTTATTTTATGCAAGTGGACCGTTGCTCTTGGCTCTTGGGCTTTCATTTAAACTCCTTTTTTTTTTTATATAATTTTTATAAATTATTAAAAATATAGATCACTTCTAATGAATAAAATGGTTGATTTTGTTCGAGATATGACATTTTCAAGATATTCTTCTTCTTTCTTTTTTAATTTGTTTTCACAATCGTTTTCTTTCAAAAAACTAAATCTTGCTCTACAAATAAAATTTTATGATTTGTAATATCAATTATTTTTCTAATCGAAATAGCCAATTTGTCATAACCTCTCACTCATTTCCATACAAACGCAAACGCAACGATTCAGCCGCTATTTTTGGCGAAAGTCATTCTTGGTCATATATATACACACACGTAGACAATCCAGATAACATTATATAACCCATCCCATCTTCATATGCTTTGGTACAAAAATAAATTCTGATTTACTTGCTTCGTAGGCAAAACTAAGCCATTGTCCTGTAAACAAGTATTGCCTAGGGTTCTAGCAGTTCATTACCCTTCCTTGTTCCTCAAGCAACCCAAACTATCCTTCAAACAACTTCTTACAGTCCACTAGGTGCTCTGTTTTCAGACCGTGAATCCGATCTTCCTTTACTTGGAAATGGACCTGATGTTTGTCTAATCCGTTGAATCAGGTGTATCTTCATCTATATGTTGAAAAATGCCTCAACTGATCGAATTCAGAAGAAATTGACCTTACACTCAAATCAATTACCTCGACTCTGATTTTTTTTTTCTGGGTCCAGTGGATAGCAGGAGCTAGAGTTTTCTCCCGTTCGAAATCTGGGCTTTAACAATCTGCCTTCTCCACTGGTGAATTGGAACCTGTGATCAGGAAAATGTTAATAACACCACATATTTCGAAGGCAGTAGGACTGGTTTTGATATATTTCTTGCAGATGTCGTCTTTCTTAGAAAAGCAAATCCAGGCAAATTTCAGATGCTGATAGATTTTAGTAAAACAGAAGAGAGCGGAAACCTTTACAAAGGGAGAGATATCTACTTACAGCAGGGAAGCCACCAAAATCACCTGGTTCAGTTATGTTTCTGGTCACACAGCTATTAGCAGCAAGTCGAACCTATATCCAGAAGTTAGATAAGATTAGAGCTGGACATTTAAACCCGTTACCGTGGGTAAGGGGGTACCCGGTCTCGTGGGTACCCGAAAAACGGGTACTCAACATCTAACGAAGACGAAAACGAGTATTAAAAACTAGAATACCCGTCATACGGGTACGGGTTTTATATATTGAAATAACGGGTACCAGCGGATACCCGCATATATATTAAAATTACAAAATTAACCTTATATTTTTAATATAATTTCTAAAATACTTAGGTTATTTTTACTTTTCTTTTCAAGTTTTGATAGATTCAACTTCAAATTATTGTGTATATTTTAAAATATTTCTAGGATTTTATGCATATTATTATATTTTAAGAATTTTTAAACTTAAAAATATATTTTTGGAATAAAATATGTATATTTTTATTGATTATTTGGTTTAATTTTATATTGTTTAATATTTTTTATACGGATACAGGTACTCGCGGTTACCCGTCTTTTAGTTATGGATACTCATTGGACGCGTACCCGAATATTATGAGATAGAGACAGAGATAGCATTTCTCTAAAACCCGCGAAGACGAAAACGAATACGGATATCTCCAAAAAAGGGGGTACTCGACCCATGTCCAGTCCTAGATAAGATAACCCAAATCATACGAGAATACTCATATTTTGGACAAAACTTTGTCCGAACCCAATATTGGGTAGTTCAACTAGTAAAGGATGGGACAAAGTTCCTTTCCAACCCAGATTCGAATCTCCACTTGGGGAGAGACATCCACCTGAACTTCTCCGGACCTCTGGAAGATGTAGTTGGACCAAAGGTCCAGTGAACTTCCGTATTATAAAAAAAAAAAACTTTGTCGGGTTATGAAGACATTTGTAAGATCCCGATTACAATACAGGAAAGATTTTTCTGTTCTTATTAATTAGGTTAAAAGGAAATTCAGAAATTTATGGTCAGGTACAGATTCTGAATCCTCCATAAGAAACACAATAGGGAACAAAACAGGCTCGTTCTCATACCAAGACGACCTGCTTGTCCTCAATCAAACCAATCCAGAGATAGAGAGATACCACAGTTTCATGTCAGTAATTTTCAATTTGAGATGCCTTCAAATATTTACCTTAGATACAATAGAGACATGATCTCGAACAGCAACCCTTCCTCCTAAAGTTACATAGTCACCAATTCTGCAGAACGGTATGAGAAAGCAACACAATAACTATTTCCAGAAGTTTACCGATTTCCCTCAAACTCTTGGAAGAACAAAGGGCAGGTAGCAAGGGGCTAAGTTCATACTTTACCGATCCAGCTATGCCTACTTGGCCACAGAGCAAGCAACTTTTTCCAATGATCACGTTATGACCAATCTGCAGATGAAATCAGATGACTTTCATTCCCTGTGTTCCATAACGAGCTAAAAGACAAGACAGAGAAACACACCTGGACTAAGTTATCTATCTTTGTATCATCCCCAATCACAGTATCTCTCCAGCTGCATCATTGAACAGGTTACAGAGCTAGTGAGCCCTGGAGGATAACGCTAAAATTTTGTATGGAGCTCGTCAACAAGAAATATGTTACCTGCCCCGATCAATACAAGTATTTGCTCCAATTTCCACATGATTTCCTATCCTCACATTTAAAGTCTAAAGAAGACAATAAACGTTTTGATTAAAAGATTATAAAAGACAAAATCTCACGAGAGACGGGGCAAATTCAAAGAAGAAATATGCACTTACTTGAGGCTTCTTCACCATGTTTCCCTTCTCATCCACATAAAAACCAAATCCTGGAAACAAATGAATTGGAACACCACAAAAGAACAAAGTTTCTTCAGTCCAATTACTCCAGATGAATAATCTGGGCAGATATTTAGCTGACCATGGATGAATATAACTAGAAAAAAATACTCTTATATGGTCTCTCAAGCCCCAAACCAAATGCATAGAATGTTACAATTTGATCTTGGTAAAAGCCCTTTTTGTGAAATTTTCAAAGTCAGATGAGTTGGCCCCATACCATCTTGACCTATACAAACCCCATTGTGAACAACGCATAAATCACCAATGCTGCAGTTGCTGACTGAAACATTATATCTGAAAAGAAAACCAAGTAGTAGAATCTATCAAAAATGCTGACCAAGTTCATCGATAAAGGAACAGAAAGTAAAGAAATACCTTACCCGATTTTCGTGGAGCGACCGATTTTAACAGATGGCCCAATTACAGTCCCAGTTCCTACATGGACGTCTGCACCCAGGACAGCATTTTCGTGAACTATAGCTCCAATCTCCACTAGAGCCGTGGGATCAACTAATGCTGATCTATGGCAAGTCCCTCCTCCATTTCGCCATCTTAAAAACTCTTCATTAACGACACTGCCACTCGTCCCTAAACTTGATAGATTACAGAAACATAAGAATCGCAAGTATAAGGAGCTGCGGTCAAAGAAGTTCCCCTAACATACGGGGAACTGCTCGACCAATGTACAATCAATTGCAGAAAAACACATAGTTTCACCGTCTGACAGGATTCAGTTCCGACAACTTAGGCTAAGATACATCGTGAACCTTAAAAGACAAAAGATCCGAATTTTCTAGAACAAAGAAACTTTAAGAGACATTTACACAAACACCTGGTATCCCAGAAAATTAAGAAGAATTTGACACAAACCCAGAATGCACATGAAGCAAGAACTTCCAAAAAGAAAAGGACTCACCGATGCTCTGAGAAACGTTTACCGCTTCGGACCCACTTTGATGATCAGAGCAAGCAGACAAATTCCGACAAATCAATGGAAGGCAAGGTTGCCGTCCGATAAGGGGTTTGCTCAAGAGGACGTTGTGAAGAGAATTACGTACTGAAGCTGAGACTAATCTTCGCAGGGTAACGGCCATAGCCATAGATTAGCAGAGATGAAGAAGAAGAAGATAGCTTGCCTCTCGCCCTCGATGCACAAGTTACGAAGGAACGTTTTTTGTCACGGAGAATAAAATAATGGCCGAAGTACTAAATCAACTCATTAATCCATTTAACAACTAATTAACTCAGTTACACCATCTTAATCCATATTTTACAGACACTAACGTGCAGACAACGCTGTGACAGAAACATCATTTACAGACAGAGGAATATCCTTCGGTAATGGCGTTGGGAGCGGCAGAGACTCGTGGCTAAGCATTGAAACAATAGAAGCCATTGTCGGCCTCTTCATCGGATTTTCTTGAACACATAAGAGAGCTATTTCTATGCATCGAACCACTTGTTTCTCCGAAAAAGATTGCAGAAAAGGATCAACAAGATTCATCAGTAATGTTCCTTCAATCCAACTTGTCCAAGCCTACAGTAAGTAAAGAACTATGTCATTACTGCAATGGTGTTTCAAGTTTTGGTTCTCAGGGCATAAATCTCGACTTACAGGGCTTGGATGGTCTGTGTTTTCTCCATGTCCATAGCCGTTGTTCCTCTGACCCATGATGATCTCAAGAACAAGAACACCGAAACTGTGAACGTCTGTCTTAACCGAGAATCTTCCATGCATTGCGTACTCTGGAGCCATATATATCCACTGCAGTAACACAAAATGCAAAGATATTATTACACTGTTCGGTTTCTTCCTTGTCCTAATGATTTGCTTATATCAAACTTACTAAGTTCCAACGACTCTTCTCGTTGTTTCCTGGGTTTTATCGAAATCAAATTGCGTCGCCATGCCAAAGTCTGAAACTTTGGGCTGCATTTGCTCGTCTAAGAGGACGTTGGAAGCCTTGAGATCTCGATGAATAATGGGAAGATGAGTTCCCTCGTGAAGATAAAGCAATCCACGTGAAATGCCTACGATGATATCGTATCGCTTTTCCCAGGTTAATCTCTCACGCTTGATAGGATCTGTGTAAGACACGATGCAGTGAGTCAGAGCTGAAAAAGATGGAGAGGAGAAACTTACCAAGAAGAAAGAAATGAGCGAAAGTACCAAATAAGAAGCGATCAAGACTCATATTCGGTATGAACTCATAGACCAGAAGTCTGATTAGATTCCGGTGTTCAAGCTTAGCCATCAATAAGACTTCATTCTTAAACTCAGTACAAGGCCCCTTCGCAATTTGGAAAATCTACGAATCCTAAAGAAAAATCTACGACTGCCGTGAAAGAACAATAAATTCAATTATAACGAAAGAGAACAACTTTCACGAGCATGAACAGCAATCTACATCAATCATTAAGCCAAACACGGCAAAGTAAGCGTCTTTAATGACCAGATCGACAGCCACGTGTCAGTCATCCGAGGCCCACCAGGCCCAGGTTTCACCGTCTGAGCCGGTTGTTTCTCCCAAACCCTATGGCTCACTTCTTTCTCTACTCGCCCTTTATCAGAGCAAACAAAACTCCCACCGGAATGGATAGTGGAAAGAGACTCGAACAACCGTGCCGATGAACAGATCGATAAACCAGTTGGTCGGAATCGGAAAGTCAGCGAAGGAGCAGACGATCAAGAGCGGCGGAGGTGACGCGACTCTGAGATCATCGTCTCCGCCGTGCTCAGTCGGTTCTTCGTCGGTTCGGAGGATTTCCGGAGGTCTAGAAACGAGCGGATTCGGTGCGGCGGCGAGCGAGAGGCTGAGACAAGCGGAGGAGTCCCTCCGGACAGTTATGTTCCTTAGCTGTTGGGGATCCTGTTAACAGAAGAAAAAAAAACATACCACAGTTGCTTTTTTTTAAAATTTTTGTGTGCCATTCAGTTACCAACACTCCTCTCTCGACAGGGTTGTGACATCTGCTTCAGAGACGATGAATACAGTTCGGAAATTGTCGACTATTCTGATGCAAAGAGCAGTGATAAACAGATTTTACTATACAAACAGGGTGAAGACGGTGACGCTATACTCCAGAATCAGTCTTTTAGGGAACCCTAAAGCAAGCATCTTGCCGGAACTTCAAAGCTGGGTACAATCCGGGAAGAAGGTCTCTGTTGCTGAGCTTATTCGTATAGTTCACGATCTTCGTCGGCGCAAACGCTTTAACCACGCTCTCCAGGTTTACCCTTCTCCTCTTTCTTCCCTTTTCGGTGATTATGAATTTGGTTTCTGTTTGGCCGCCGAGAAAATCGAGGCAGTTTCTCAATCTGGGTTTTGATATAAGTGTTTCAGGTTTCGAAATGGATGAATGATACGGGCGTATGCGTTTTCTCTCCGACCGAGCACGCGGTGCATTTGGATCTCATCGGCAGAGTTCATGGATTTGTCACTGCGGAGGAGTATTTCAACAGACTCAATGAACAGTACAAGACTGAGAAGACGTATGGAGCTCTTCTGAACTGCTATGTCAGGCAACAGGACATCGACAAGTCCCTGTTCCATTTTCAGAGGATGAAGGAGATGGGCATCACACTGTCTTCTCTTACTTACAACAACATCATGTGCCTTTACACCAAAACCTCCCAACATGACAAGGTTCCTACCGTTCTAAATGAGATGAAGCTGGACAATGTGGCTCCAGATAATTACAGCTTCAGAATCTGCATCAATGCCTATGGTGTTATGTCTGATCTCGAAGGAATCGAGAGAACTTTGCGAGAAATGGAGAACCATCACGGTATTATCATGGATTGGAACACCTATGCTGTAGCTGCCCATTTCTACATCAAAGCTGGTAATGCTGACAGAGCTTCTGAACTTCTGAAGAAGTCGGAAGAGAGGCTGGAGAACAAAGATGGTACTGGCTACAACCATCTCATCTCTCTCTACGCAAGCCGAGGAGAGAAGACTGAGGTGTTAAGGTTATGGGATTTGGAAAAAGAAGCGTGTAAGAGACACATAAACCAGGACTACATTGTCATGTTGCAGTCGCTTGTGAAGCTCGACGGCCTGGAAGAAGCGGAGAAAGTACTCGAGGAGTGGGAATCATCTGGAAACTGCTACGATTTTCGTGTCCCTAGAATTTTGATACGTGGGTATGCTGCAAAAGGGTTGAGCGATAAGGCGGAAGAAGTTCTTGAGGATCTATCGGGCAAAGGCAAAGCTACTACACCGGATTCTTGGGGCATTCTGGCTGATAATTATGCTGAGAAGGGTGAGCTAGATAAAGCTTTCAGATGCATGAAATCTGCTCTCAGTGTCCAAGGAAAGAACAGGAAATGGAGGCCCGGGTCGAAGCTCGTCACGAGCGTTTTGAGTTGGCTTGGCGTTGAAGGGAACTTCAAAGAAGTCGAAAGCTTTGTTGAATCACTCAAGACTTCCATTGGCGTGAACAGAGAAATGTACAGTGCTTTGATCAGGGCAGATGTAAGAGAAGGTGGAAAGAATACAGATACTCTACTGAAGCGGATGGAAGAAGATAAAGTTGATGCCGATGAAGAAACCATGAGAATTCTCAGCACAAGAAGACTCAGCTAATGAATGCTTATATACTCTTCTTTCATGTTTGATTTGAGCGAAATTGTCTTTCATGCACTGAACATCCATAGTTATTGACACATCAACGAGATATGATCAGTCCACCGTTTTGGATTTCGATTCGGTTATATTCGATTATATAAGATTTATAATCAATCGGTTTTTTATATAAAATTCGGTTCGATTTTATTTGGATTTCTAAATCAGTTTTTATTGATAAATAGTCAATTTTTAAAGAAATTTATGATTTTTTAGTTATTTATTTTATTTAAAAAATTAAAATTGGTTCGATTTTTATATTGAATTTGAACCGAATGAAATAACTAGAACTCAGTTTCTATAACAATGATCAAAGTCACAGAAATCCATCGATAAACCAAAGCTTACTTTCATCTCTTCGGTTCAGAATCTTATTCCTCTTCCACAAGAGGCAAATCTGGCAACGGCAACAGGTACTACTACTTGAAGTGACATGGATAGATTAAACAAGTGACATGGTTTGTAATCAACCAAATAATGTGAACAGAACTGGAACCGCATAATTCCTGCTTCACACATTCGAATCAAATGCAGGGAAAAGGCCTGTATAGGAAATCTTTATCATAGTTTATTATAAGAAATTAATATTGCATAATAACATTCTAAAACCAAAAAAAAAAAAATCATAAAACCAAGTTTGTGCAGTCACGTTAAAAATATCTGCAAAAGACAACTTGTTATTCAAGTAATCAACTGCAGATGTTAGATCAGTTCAATGCTTAAATTAATATACAGCTTTTAAAGTTCTGTATTTTGTTTTTTTTTTTAATTTATAAAAAAATATTATAAATAGGAGTTTCTACACTCACTTGGTATTTCGTTGACGTCTCTTGATCTCCTTTTGATGTTTTCAGAGAAGACGCCTCCTCGTCCGTCATCCTGTGGCTTATCCCCTCCATGAAGAGCAAACAAACACCCACTTCTGCGAAAAATCAAATCATTTAATTAAAAAAATCAAGAAGTCAAATAATATAATATCAATCTGAATCCAAACGACACGTTGTACAGTTCAGACCTGTTCTTCTTGAACTGTTCTTTCTCTGAATCTTGCCAAGATAACTGCAGAAATGAATATACATTAGCTCTGTCGTTTAGTTCAAAGTCAATGACATTATTTTCAGACTTAGAACTCGAAAGCAACATGATGTGCCCATCACCCTCTTCTTACGCTATTTTACTAAAATTTTTAAACCTTCAATATAACAACACTGGTTAAAGCCAAGCCAGAGAGATCAATTCATTCATCAGCAGCAATCGAGATTCAAGATTTTCGGTCGAGATGAAGATCTGTTTTGCCACTCTTGCTCTGTTTCTGGCTGTTTACTTGGCATTTAACCTATCCAATGCCGAGAATACCGAACAGATTCCACAGAAACCAGCCCTGCATCAGCTCCTCCACACAGTTCAAGAATGGAGATCGACCGTGAAAGAATCCGGTGCCACTGAGACTGAGCTCAAACTCTCATTGGCTATTGTGCTAGCCGGAATACTGTGCTTCGTCTCGGCCTCAATCGCGAGCGCAGGTGGCATCGGCGGTGGAGGCTTGTACATTCCTATAATGACTATAGTTGCAGGACTAGACCTGAAAACAGCGTCTAGATTTTCTGCTTTCATGGTTATTGGAGGATCGGTTGCAAACGTTATGTACAATCTTTTTGGCAAAGCCTTGCTTGATTTCGACTTAGCTTTGCTGCTAGAGCCGTGTATGCTTCTTGGAGTGAGTATCGGTGTCCTATGCAACCGAATATTCCCTGAGTGGATTATTACCATTCTATTCGCTGTTTTCCTTGCATGGTCTACTACAAAGACCTGCAAAAATGGGGTCAGGTGCTGGAAACGAGAATCAGAAATGGCGAGTAAAAGACCAAGCGAGAGAGCAGAGAAAGGTCTACCTCAGAAAGATGAGGGCTGCAGTGAAATCGAGGAGGCCAAGAGCCTAAAAGAACCTCTCCTCAGGACACAAGAAACCGGAAGGAACCTAAAGCTTCCATGGATGAAGCTCGGTGTATTGGTTATTGTCTGGACATCTTTCTTTGTCATTTATCTTCTCCGCGGGAACAAAGATGGCAAGGTATCAAAGAAGCATGTCTAGTCCAACCTGGTCACATGAAAAAAGAACGATTTTTATTTTTTTTGGTTATGTGCAGGGAATCATATCGATAAAGCCTTGTGGTGTAGAGTATTGGATTCTACTGTCACTACAGATACCTCTTGCCTTGGTTTTTACGAAGTTGGCTCTCTCAAGAGGCGAATTTCTTCAAGAACAGTCCCCGAGCAATCAGGTAAGTCATGTTCAACATGATTCAGACAATCACTGGCAAATGCTTTACTAAAACCCAAAATTCATGTGACCAGAAAAACCAGGAAGATCCAAGCGTGGATCGGTCTACGAAGCTAATGTTCCCTGTAATGTCATTTCTAACCGGCTTGTTAGGAGGTGTCTTTGGGATTGGAGGTGGAATGCTTATAAGCCCTCTTCTTCTTCAGGTTGGAATAGCACCAGAGGTAATTGAAACCGAAATTTCTTCATTCCGCTCAATAAGAAATCACAGTGGCACAAGTTTTCTCAATCATATAAGCTCTTGACATGAACTCAGGTGACAGCTGCAACAACTTCTTTCATGGTGTTTTTCTCGGCCACGATGTCTGCAGTGCAGTATTTGCTACTAGGAATGCAGAACACAAAAGCGGCTTACATGTTTTCCTTCATCTGTTTCATTGCCTCGCTTGTCGGCTTGGTCGTAGTGCAGAAAGTCATCGCTCGGTTCGGAAGGCCATCCGTTATAGTCTTTGCGGTCTTCCTTATCGCGTAAACATCGTGATTGCCAAGGACAAAACACGAGATAGTCACTGAAGGTACACGTGTTCGGATGTAGACAATCTTTGGGGCTCTTGATGTTTGGACAGCTTATGCAGCAGGCAAAGACATTGGGTTCAAACTACCATGTTGAAGCATGAATCTTCAGATCTTTTCAGCTCCAGTCTTAAGAGACAGAGATTCAATAGGGTTTCGGGTTCTGGTTTGTAAAACTGACTACTGTTTTTCTCTTTTCTTTTCTTTTTTTTTTTGTTGTGTCATGTGCTTGTTTTCATAGCTACCTCCTGCAGAGGTTAAAGCTTTCTCTGTGTAAGAAAATAGTATTTGGAAGCAAAAAAACATCATCTACATAAGACCTTGTCAGCTAGAGCTCTGAAATGACCTCTACATTAGAGGTACAAATGGAGAGCAAGACAAAGGTTGTGATTCGCACATTTGTATATTTGATGATTTGTGGTTGTGGTTTAGCCAAGCCCTCCAATGAAACAGCAGTTAACCACCTATTATTCTTGTCGTTAGAGAACTATTGGTTAATCAAGAGCTTTGATATGTACCTTTAAGCTTGTGACTGATCTCAAGTTCTCGTATGGTTTATCTTTTGGTACCCTGCAAGAGAACAATAACCAGAAGATGTCTTAACGCTAAAGCGAGCAATCACTAAACTCGATGTAGCACATTCATAGTTCTACATTCTGGATCAGACAGGTTCCCGAGAACACGTAGTTTATGGCTTGTTCTTCCAGAAACAAACACGACACATAATATGCCAGAGAAGAATACATTAAACATTTATGGCAGTACTCAATAATAAGTTTCTCGGACAACATGAGTGAGGTCACATTGCCCAAGACACGGGCTCCAAAAGGGCCGAAACAAATCCGTGACAACACCACAATCAGGAATTAAAAACTACGACCCGCAAGAGAACTGTGAAACTATTTGACACAAGTCGATTCTTCGGCCTCTTGATAATACCTGGCATATGCTCAATCTTAGCCTGAGGTCCTGAGGCAAACATCATAATTAGACAAATGACCTACAGGGAAATCTTCACATTTCCTAGAATAAAGCAAAGCCAAACTCAGTTAACAGACCTTGGAATCAAACCTGCTAGCTTTTGGTCTCTCATTAAGCAGACCCACAACTTCACCTTTCGTAAATTCGACTTTACTGCATCATCTGTGCAGCCAACATCACTATTCACAGTGATATCTTGTCTGTTCGCTGTGGAAAGTGCTTGTCTTTAACAGTACCTATTTCCAGTTTCCTGCGCTTGTCATTGGGAATGCTAGCCCTCCTTTTTCTGCAGATATTTAGAAAACAATAAATCAGCTTCCAGATTTTGTAAAATCCAATTTTCAAATTCATTGCTCGTTAAAGTCCTTCTACGACAAGCATCAAAACAGAAATAGCAGGAACCCACTGTCATTCTGAATTTTGCCGACGCCAATCACTAAGCAGCCGAGTTCAAAGTAACTCATACATGATCCATTCAACAAATGGACTCAAATTTCTCTTCAAAATTTGCCATCAAAATCAGTATCATTGCGTTTTCTCACTCGTCAACAGAACCAAAAACAAACTAGAACAGGAAAAGAGGGCTTACGGCAGATGGGCTGTGGGGAGATCGGTTCGGATTGCGAAGCGTCATTTCCAAAAAGTAAAATTGTTACCGATTCCTTGACTTTCATCTCGTCAATTGCATCGGATTCTGGAGCGTGCTTCGAATTTAGACCAACTGTCGCAGGCTCCTCTAAAATAATCCTATTGATTGCTGGATTCCGGACAACATCAAAGATTGTCCTTCTCAATCGAATTCGAGAAATTAGGGTTCTTGTATTTTACATAGAAGCCAATGGAGAAAGGGCAGAGGAGGAGGAGCCTGTTTGAAAATTTGAAATAGGATATGGCTAACGCTTGGGAAAAATTATAACGTTGCTTTTGTCCTTTATTTTATATATTAAAAATAAATAATAAATAATTATTATATCTCTTAGAAACCCTACGCCTATTTTTAGTTTAAAATTCAAATTCGAAACGAAAGTTTTGCATTTCGATTTTACAAACCAAATTGGATCATCCTCCTTGTAAATCTAAACATACTTTTTTTTTATATATAATCCAGAAGTTCACCGAATCTTATAAGAAATTAATATTGCATGATAACATTCTAAAACCAAAAAAAAAAAATCATAAAACCAAGATTGTGCAGTCACGTTAAAACTGGCTTTGACCAGATTCTACTTAATGGAATAAAGAACTAAATATCAACACCATTACAATTTTTAAAAAAGGAACCCTTAAAAAGTATCTGCAAAAGACAACTTGTTATTCAAGTAATCAACTGCAGATGTTAGATCAGTTCAATGCTTAAATTAATATACATACAGCTTTTAAAGTTCTGTATTTTGTTTTTTTTTTAATTTATAAAAAAATATTATAAATAGGAGTTTCTACACTCACTTGGTATTTCGTTGACGTCTCTTGATCTCCTTTTGATGTTTTCAGAGAAGACGCCTCCTCGTCCGTCATCCTGTGGCTTATCCCCTTCATGAAGAGCAAATAAACACCCAATATGTCCCAAGAAACTTGTCTGAAAGATCAAAACATTTACATAAAATGATCAACAAGTCAAATAATAGAATATTAATCTGATTCCAAACGACACGTTGTACCGTTCAGACAAAAGGGTCATCATCACGGACTGTTTCTTCTTGAACTGTTCTTTCTCTGAATCTTGCCAAGATCACTGCAGAAGTGAATACATTTGCCCTGTTGTTTAGTTCAAAGTCAATGACGTTACTTTCAGACTTAGAACTCGAAAGCAACTTGATGTGCCCATCACTCTCTTCTTGTGCTATTTTACTAGAATTTTTAAACCTTCAATATAAGAACACTGCCAAGCCAGAGAGATCAATTCATTCATCAGCAGCAATCGAGATTGAAGATTTTCAGACGAGATGAGGATTCATTTCGCCATTCTTGCTGTATTTATGGCTGTCTTTTTGGCATTTAACCTATCCAATGCCGAGAATTCCGCACAGATTCCACAGAAACCAGCCCTGCATCAGCTCCTCTACACAATTCAAGAATGGAGATCGACCATGAAAGATTCTGGTGCCACCGAGCTCAAACTCTCATCGGCTATTGTGTTAGCCGGAATCCTGTGCTTCATCTCGGCCTCAATCTCGAGCGCAGGTGGCATCGGCGGTGGAGGCTTGTACATTCCCATAATGACTATAGTTGCAGGACTAGACCTGAAAACCGCATCTAGTTTCTCTGCTTTCATGGTTACTGGAGGATCGGTTGCAAACGTTATGTACAATCTCTTTGGTAAAGCTTTGCTTGATTTTGACTTAGCTTTGCTGCTAGAGCCGTGTATGCTTCTTGGAGTGAGTATCGGTGTCATATGCAACAGAATATTCCCTGAGTGGATTATTACCGTTCTATTCGCTGTTTTCCTTGCATGGTCTACTTCAAAGACCTGCAAAAATGGAGTCAGGTGCTGGAAACGAGAATCAGAAAAGGCGAGTAAAAGACCAAACGAGAGAGCAGAGAAAGGTTTACCTCAGAAGGATGAGGGCTGCAGTGAAATCGAGGAGACCAAGAGCCTAAAAGAACCTCTCCTCAGGACACAAGAAACCGGAAGGAAACCAAAGCTTCCATGGATGAAACTCGGTGTATTGGTCCTTGTCTGGACATCTTTCTTTGTCATTTATCTTCTCCGGGGGAATAAAGATGGAAAGGTATGAAAGAACTATTTCTAATCCATCCTGATCACCTGAAAAATGAACGATTTTTTTTTGGGGGTTATGCGCAGGGAATCATATCAATAAAGCCTTGCGGTGTAGAGTACTGGATTCTACTGTCGCTACAGATACCTCTTGCCTTGGTTTTTACGAAGTTGGCTCTCTCGAGAGGCGAAGTTCTTCAAGAACATTCCCCGAGCAATCACGTAAGTCATGTTCAACATGATTCATACAATCACTGGCAAATGGTTCACTAAAATCAAAAACCAAAATTCATGTGAGCAGAAAAAGCAGGAAGATCTAAGCGTGGATCGGTCTACGAAGCTAATGTTCCCTGTAATGTCATTTCTAGCCGGCTTGTTAGGAGGTGTCTTCGGGATAGGAGGTGGAATGCTTATAAGCCCTCTTCTTCTTCAGGTTGGAATAGCACCAGAGGTAATCGAAACCCAAGTTTCTCCATTCTGCTCAATAAGAAATCACTGTAGCACAAGTCTTCTCAATCCTATAAGCTTCTGACATGAACTCAGGTGACAGCTGCAACAACTTCTTTCATGGTGTTCTTCTCAGCCACGATGTCTGCAGTGCAGTATTTGCTACTAGGAATGCAGAACACAAAAGCAGCTTACATGTTTTCCGTCATCTGTTTCATTGCCTCACTTGTCGTCTTGGTTGTGGTGCAAAAAGCCATTGCTCGGTTCGGAAGAG